TGCATGAGTTAAAACTTAATTTTTTTTTTCCAAATGCCAAATGTTCTTTCAATTATATTACGTAGCTAAGAATGACTATGATTATACAACTCATGCACTGTTAAGTACCTACGATATTCTATTCCATTATATTCACTCAGACATATCAATATCCATGATAGGATGTTAATAAGTTGTTGATATTTTTGTCACTCCCCAAGTGACCCTCCCTTAAGGTTGGCTGAGTTGCGACAGGAACAGACAATTCAATCAGACTAAATTCTCACAAATACTCGTCCTGACTTATAGAATCAGGGCCTAATGAGTGATGAACAGTCCAATTAAATTACCGCAAACATGCTTGGTACATTTCATTTCATAATTTATTCATATCACATAAACTCAGAAGCATGAAAATTGGGCCCCAAAACATAACAATTATCAATTGTCCATCTAATATTAATGGTTTCCTATATTCTGTCACTGTCAGATTGTCAGATCTTAATGGCTCCCAAAATTTTGTCACATTCTGAATACCACAAATTGTGAATCTCTCATTCCTATTATATGTACTTGCAAATACTCATGTAATAGTCTACGCAAAATATTACTTGTGATATTTTATAAATCACAATTCATGTAATAAATATTCATCAGACATTTCATATATCATAGACATATATCATAACAAATGAATATCTGTAGATAATGTTTTCATAAGCATATTCATCAGATTCATAACATAGTAAAATCACGTGTATCATAAGGGGCAATCATATTACATTCATACATTCATTGCAGATATTTGTCCAAAATATGTTGAAAAATGTAAATGCATTAGTGTCAAACATGGAATAACCTAGAAACCTACAAAGATTTATTCTTCTTAAGTTATCACAAGATTATTTCATCTGACTAGACGAACAATCTTATAACAAAATTTTCCAAGCATGTATCGAGCTTACCGCCTCTTATAAATAATCTGGAAATAATAAACATCATAGGATTTCGTGAAATATCAACTTATTTCATAATTTAACCCAAAACATAACTTGTTTACAAAATCTTACTTCAAACTGGCTTCTTAGCATTAGCCAATCTTTTTTGATCTTAGCTACTCCTTTTCCCTCTTTTTCCTATTTTCTTAATCTTCCCTTTCTCTCATTGATTTCATGCTAAAAGCTCTTATGGATGCCCACAAATCGAGTTCACCGCTTTCGACACGATTTTGCCTCCACTAGTGCTATCAAAAATGAAAAATGAACAAATTCTCGGCAAACGTTAAAACAAAAATAGGAGGAAGGAAATGAATGCGTAGAATAACATGAAAAAGTCTTTTGTACTTATAGAAATTTTCTCGGAATCCCTTACCACAAGTTGCGGCTCCCAAGCTTTCGCTTGCCCTCCCTGTTCGCTCCTTGCTACAGTACCCGAGCCGTAGCATTTCAGATTGTGAACACGAGAGCTGCGAGAGGAGAATGAGGGAGCGCTACACTTACCTTACCCCTTTTTAACTCTTAGGTGCCCGATCTCAATCAAACTAATGCATGAGCGAAAAAGTGCAGGTAAAGACGACTGTGAACAACAAGATATCTTGAGCTGGTTCTTCTTGCGGTTGCGCTTTTTGTGCCTCTTAAACATGATCTCGAGTCCAACAAGATTTCTTGAGCACCTGTAGCTTTTGATGATCAAGTCATCATTATAACTTTCTAACTACTTGTATGTGTGGTTGCCAAAGATCTTTGCCATTGTTCTTTGGTAGGTAATCCTTGTATTCTTTAGGTTGAATGTCATGACTTGATATTAAGAGATGCCGGTTGGGGTTCGAAAAGATAACCATTGTAAATGACCTATTTTGCAGAGATGAATGAGCACTTGTCGATAATGAAAGGCTTCAAATTGGATCACCTCTATATATTATACCATTAAGATGTTTAGTTCTTTGAATTTGTTACAATTTGATAGTTACAACAATGGTAAACATGATGTTACTTATTTGAATGACAATTATGGAATCACCCATATTTTCATTTGTATAAGTTGGTGTAACAGCCCAAACACTCATCCATTGAGATATTGTTTGCTTTGTCCTAATGGTCTTACGGTTTTGCCCATTTGGTGTAACTTCCTAAAATGTCACCCATCTCAGGAGTGCTCTAATATGAGCATGCTTAATTTTGGAGTTTATATCAAAACTCTAACCATTGCACCCAAAGGCTCTCATTTTTTAAGAGTTCATCTTCATTCTATGTAAGGGGTTTCATAATCTCTCCCACTTAAGTAATTGACATACCCATCAGTTCTCTTAGCCCAAAATCATCCACCAGGTAGATGAGATTCTAGAGTTGGTTCTTACAGATTCAAGAGTTGGCTCTCAACATGTAGCACTTTGTCCCATCTTAAAGTGGCTTATGTTGTGTATCACTTTATTTGTATAACATTTAGTTCCAATCTTCAGGTTGGTGTATGCTCTGGTATCATTTGTAACAACCTGAACTTTTATCCATTGAGATCAGGATTGTTTTGGCTTGGCTTTGGATCAATTTGGCTTAATGACCTCACGGTTTTGCCCCATTGGCACAACTTTTAGGAGATCACCCGTCCCAGGAGTGCTCCCATGAGAGCAAGTTTAACTTGGGATTTTCTATCGAAACTTCATTCGTTACACCAAAAGGTCCCTCGTTGTTTAAGAGTTCAACTTCATTCTACTTAATGGGTTTCATAGTTGGGCCTATTAGAGAATAATGATAAAGACTAGAAGCTCCACAAAATATGGCTGATTTTATATCTTGGGCTTAAAATGCATGGAACAATATTTTTTGAGAATATCTCAGACTCAACAATTTTTTACTTCTTTAGCACGGTCTCTTGTGCAAGTTCAGTGGCTTAGTCAAACTCAAGCTGAGGCAATGGATTGAACTCAAGGCTAGCTTCATGCTTTTGCAAATGTAACTTATGTTTGCCTTCTTCATCCTTAACACATTTAAGCGAGGTATTGAGATTGGTAGACCTAATGGGGCTGGTAGAACTTTCGGGACTGGAGTGAATAGATTGGGAAGTGAAAAGAGCATTCTTAAATTATATAAGACACCAATCTAGATTTTCCATCATATCATTGAATATTACAAGAGTTCTTTGCTGGTGGGAATATGAGTAAGTGTATGAGAATTGAAGAAATTTGTAAGAAGATTGATTATGTTGACTTGGTCTAGCATAATAATGCGTTGCATGAGAAGTATGATGTGAGTGATGATATTTTGGGAATGAGTGTCATCATAGGTATCACAAGAGTTTTAATAAGAATATGACTTTTGATGCATCTTGTTTACATTAATCACCAATAATCTTCTTAATACAGCATTCCCATGTTTTTTAGGATGAATTATAGAATAAAAGGAATCAAAAGAAGAACAGCCAAGATAATTCATGCACGATCTTTCATAAGAGATAAATTTGTTAGGAAAGAATATGCTAAATAAGAGACTCTTTTGGTTCATTATTATATATAATAATTTTAATTAAGGCATAGCATGTCCAAATAAGACCTGATATAATACAGGTGATGGCATACCATTTTTTATGAGTCTGCTGAGCTTAGGCTTGCATCAAGTGTGCATCACATATAATGTTAAAAGGAAAGTGGCGCTTTTCTTTAGGACCATCCAGAAAAAGCAGGGGCTAAACATGTCTTAGTTATTAAAAAAAAAAAAAAAAAAAAGGTAATGTTTGTTTGTTTTAGTAAAATTTATCCCTAACCTTCAAATAAATTACATTGTATCCTGTTTATGAAAAAAGAAAAAACCCCTCAATTGATACCAAATATGTGCACTCGAATTATTGATTTAGAGATGTTTAAAATTGTAAAAAATACTATATTTTTCAATAACCAAGTGCTTTATTAATGAATGAATGCAAAAATTGTATAAATAAAAGGATTTCTCAAAATCTGACACCGGTTATGTCAGCATTTATCCTTAATGGACTAGTCATTTAGGGGAAATTCTACGCTTTTATGTGACTAAATGGAAGGTCAGAGTTGTTTCTAATTTTGAGGGAAATGTAGTTTTGGCATTTTACAAGATCGGCCAAAGTATTTGGCTGAAAAAATAGTGAATGTATCCTTTCAATTCCCTTTTTTTTAAATGTCGCATTAATATATCAAAAGGTTGGTTGTAGTCAGTAAACTTTAGCTTGAAAATCTTACGAGTTATGTGATTTTCATCGAATCATGCATGATTTTTAGTCAAACAAGAATTAAATACATGGAAGTTTGAGTGGACAGAAATAATTCTGAACAATTGTAACCTAAAATGCTTTAAAATTTTAAATTTTGCTTCAAGTTGCTATGGATAATGATCAAATATTACAACTTAATCAGGATTGTTTTGGATCCTATGCCACCAAAATACTAATGAATAAATTGTGGTGTGAATTTGAGAATGGTTTTATCCATGAACCTTTATAAATTTTGACTGAAATATACAACTTTTTGTGCACCAAAATCTGTTGATAGTTTGAAAAGTTGGAAAAAATGGAGCATCTTTTATAAGATATTGAAATCATTGTACATGAATTACTATTTATATCTATTCAAACTAAAAAAAAAATGGACTTACTGTACTTTTGGCAAGGTTATGGAACACGGGCTCTTTCTGAAAATCTACATGCTCAATTTATTTTTTTCGAAACCTAGAGATCATTTGAGATCTTTGAATGCTATGGCTTTGCAGATTTCTTGTAAATTATGTGTTGGAAACTTACCAAAGCTCTACTTATGTTAGGATTGCTGTACAGACCACAATCAGTTTTATTTCCCAGATACTTGTCAGTTTTATTTCCCAGATACTTGTTTTTTTTTTTTTAATTTTCATCTGGTATTGATCAATCAATGCCAGGCATTTGTATATTATAAATGATGTAACAGGGTTTTTGTCTCTATCTGAAAGTACATTTTATTTATTTATTTATTTAACAACTATCTTAAATGTTTCATGTCGAACATCTGATTGTATTATATGTAGGTGTTGAAGAGAAGAGTTTGAGGGGCTCAAGGAAGGGTCCCGTAGACAGCAAGTTAGATAAGAAGGCTGTATTAAAAATTTCCAGCAAAGACTTTTTGGGGCTTGATTTTTCTGAGAAGGAAAGTCATAGAAGAAGGCCTCCTGGTTTGGTTCCACTAGTGGGACCCCTTGTAGAAGGTGATGTGCAGGAAGTGGAAATTATTGTTGGGGATGCAAGCAAATTTGAAAAAACACCGCGAGCAAGTACTTCTTTTGAAGTGGTTGACAACACGGTACTATACAAGCCCAAAGTGTCTACATGGGGGGTCTTCCCAAGGCCCAACAACATCTCTAAGACGGTGTACTATTGATGCTTTGTCAATTTAGATTGATACTAATAATGATTTTACACCTTTCTATTTGTCATGGAGTACTCAATCACACATGAGCAAATACTCAAAAAATATGTTTATTTAGCTGTACAAAACTACATATGTATATTTAAATTATTTACCTACGCACATATTTGTGCATAAGTATATGTTCTTACAAACATGAAAACATGCATACATATCACTGAACTTAAAATGTATATGGATTTCTTTTTCTTGGGATTGGGTACATGTGAGTATCATACTTCCTCCAATTTCAGGAGTGGTAGTTTAGACATTGGTTAATGGAGGAAAATAATTAGATTAGAATATCATAATTAATCTTTTGATGGATCATTGCAGACTATATGTTGCCACGATCCGATCGGGGCTTGGAATTATTCAAAAAGAGAACAGAGGGTCAGACGTCAGGAATTAAATTTTTTCATATTTATTTTTTATAATTAACTATTAATAAAAGAAAGAACCACTAAATTAAAATAAATTAAAATAATATATTTAAATTTATCTTGTTACCGGTTGTCCGCGTCTTCTATAGACATTATCATTTCTATCACTCATCTTTTAATCACTTAATTAATTTGAAAAGTAAGTTTAAAATAACAATGAACTAAATAAGCAAGTGAATACTCATACCACAAAAATTTAACAATAAAATAGAAAAAAAGTAATATAGATGCCAGTTAAGTTTTTAATAAATCCATATAAATATTTGATGTTATTCAAAGAATCTTACTATATCAACATCATATCAATACCATTTTATTTCTGTATAACCGTCACAGTAGCACCGTCTAAAAATTTTATCACTTCAAGTACTTTAATATCAATATTCTTTTTCTTTTATGTGCCCATGTATCTTAATGTTTCTCCACTAATACCATAAATGAGAGATTTCATCATAGTCAACCATGCACATACAAGCATATAACAAAAATATTATTTTTTAATAATAAATATTTTATATTTATTTGCATAACAGTTAATATTATTGTAAGAGATTCAATAACTACGATAATTAAACAAAGTTGAGCACACAGGTCATTCTTACAATATGAATAAAATTTAATAGAACCCTAAATCATGTGTATACAATACTATAACAGTAACAGTAAATGCACTTGATCGAGAAGAAACAAAATATTACTATAGTAAATGAATATAAGCACTCACCTCGATGTTGATTAAATTGTTATTTGATTTGCCTTGACGTCGACTCTTCTAAAAATTGAAATACTAAAATAAATATGATATTCATATTATTAAAATTTTTATATATACAAATTTAATAATTATAATATTTTATTTAGTTATTAATTAATTATAAAAATTTTATTATTTAATTTTATGTAGTTATTAACTAAATAAAATTTTCATTATTTTATTTAGTTATTAATTAATTATATAGACAATGCTGCATATAATACACTTTACTTTGTTTTGCAGCATTGACTATTTTCTCGAGTCTTGCTTCTTTTCTATCCATATGATGTATGTTATCGTTGTATTTTCCTGTATCAGTTTGGAGGTGGAAGAACTTTTGTGCCCGGTGAAATGCTTGAAACTCTAGAGACAAAAAAGGCAAAAGAAAAGTGTAGCAGAGAGTTAATTTATGCTTATAAAAGAAAGATGGGTTTAGTAGTTGATGCAAAAGCTAGAGCTGAGTGTGAAAAGGTATCACACCTCGTAACTTTTGTTGAATTGTGTCTGTCACAGCTATACGGTGATTTTACATTTTTGTAACAACTGCTGTAATATACAAAGTCTTCCAATACAACTCATCATATTTATTATGCCAAGAATTTATATTTGATAGTGATTTTATTAATACTTCTTTTGTATACTCGCACCCCTATCAACCATTGTTTTAATAAGTAAAATGCAATGACTCTTTCTGTCCTTCATAAATTTTCATTTTTTTATAAGTATCTCATCGATTTTTCTTTTTTTCAACTTGTTTGTAGGATTCATCTTATGGTGTGAAAAGTTAGGCAGTTATGATTTAGGAATTAAATTCATAACTTGTTGTACATCTCTTAGTGGTGGTAGTTTACCATGCTAAATAGTTTTAAAATCACCCAATATTTGATTTGTATCATCCGGTAAAATCATAATTTTAATCACCTCATTATTCAATTCCATAATTATTTAGGCTTACATCACACCTTGTGTACTTTTTTTTAAAGCAAGTTTATTTAGTATATGTGAATGATTTTTCTCCTTCATTGGGATAATTAGGCTTTGCTGGTTTCAAAACTAGTCTTTTCCCATTAATCTTGAAAGCCTCAAAAAATATGTAACAGTCTACCCAAAATAGTATAAGTAACGTCCATAGATGGCACATCACACTAACCCTTATCGGTATAGGCAACCTATTGAATCAAGAGTAGACATCTTTGAGGTATACAAGTATTGTATATCTAAGGTATGTTATGTGGTTGTGGATGAGGTTTGTATTTCAAATATATTTGGTCTAGGGAAAAATTAAACACATCATTCACACAACTCCCACCATCAATTATAAGCTTGCATAATTTATCCCCCCTTTTTAAAAAGGCTTAAAAATTATATTTCTTTAATAATCACCTCAACCATAGGAATCTATAACATGACATGTAAATCATCCTCAAAATCTGCACTCTTTTCATCTAACTTATGGGTTTTATCAAAATCATTGATTTTGTTTTCTTCCTTGTCCACATTTATATACAAGTTTTTGATGGGAGCTCACTAGCATAATGATCAATTTGATGACAAAATATATCCTTGCAATATTTATTAAACCCATTTGTAGATGCAATTTATGTCTCTTTAATGCCCTTATTGACCATAGTATAACTATCATTAGATGCAATAGATAACAATAAAATTGAGTTGTATCGTTTTGATCAAAATGATGTACTCTCTTGTTATGTTGTAGTCCCTCCTAGAAATGTGAAATTTTAATATCTCTTTAGAATAAAGTAAAATGCCAAAATAGTCCCCTGACTATTTATATGGCATCATTTAGCCCCAGAGTATATAAATATGTCAAATTAGTCCCCAAATTCTTTTAATATGAGCTGAAACTAAATTGACATTTTTATAGACTCTGGAACTAAGATGCCCATAAAAAAAATCAGGAGATCATTTTGATATTTTTCTTGTTTAGAGTATAATGCAAGTTGAAAAGCATACTCAAGTGATAGAATGCTAAGATATGCCATTGTTGACTAGTGTTATTACCCTTAGATACAGGAAGTACATTAGTTTAAATTTGATTGTTTTGAAGAAATGATGCACCCCCTTAATATGTATTACCCTTCTTAGACATAGGAAATTTTTTCATTTGTTGAAAGTCTAATCCAAGTTAAAAAGCGTATTGATTGATGACATGTGATGATTTGTCGTATCCTTTGATGTTTGATCTAGAATTAGATAAAATTGAACATTGTATTTTAGGATCTCCAATGATTTCTGAATAGGACTACAATTCTTTAAATATATTCATGTGTTCTGTGATATTGTTAGTTCTATGCTTTACTGGAATGCATTCATCAGGCAAACAATTACTACATAACAAATTAAAGAAAATTATAATTTCCGTTCTATGAAAATTTATTTTGGCCTTTTCATGATCATCAAATAAGTTTCAATTAGAATAATTAATTTTATTTTTTCAAATAGTACTTATCATTGATCACGCATGATTGGTCCTTCAAATAAGTTGTATACATCCATTAGCCAATCAGTAAAAGCATTATGATGAATTTACAATTATAAGTAGACACTTTAAATATAAACTTTCAAGTTATGTCATCATCTGCATCAAAATTTTGATATCTATACTTTCTATAATCTTTATTATTAAAGTCCTTTAACTATCATCAGATTGATTTCTTTCTCTTCTATTAGAATTAACATTCAAGTGAATTGGTTCATCTTTTTTGTTAGAATTTATTTCAACTTGATCTTAATTGGTTTATAAATTATCAATTATTATTGTAACCATGTTAATGTATTGTAAATCATTTAATTTTGCAAGGTTATTAAAATTTCATTCCTTTCATTACATGTTAAGTTATTATGATAATTATCCTCACTTTTAAGTGACATTTTTGAGACAATTGAAAGCTCTTATATCAATTTTAAGCGTGCAAATAATGAGGTTCATAATATACTTTCATGAACAGAAATTTGAGAATTCACAGATCAAAACTCATTAATTAATTTAATGACCCATCTTCATTAAATAAAAATTGGCAGTACCAAATTGTGTGTCCAACTGAAAAAGAAGTTATTGACAATATTTAATAATTTTAACTAGAAATTGGATGCATATAAAATCAACAAGCAAATTAAAATTAATATCATCAATTTTTTTTATTAATACGTCACTTTTCATTCAGAATCAAAAGCACTAAACCAGTCAATAACTAATTTTATAGAGAAAATAAAACAAAGAACCAAAATGCTAAAGTAAATAAAAAAGAAAAAAAATCAAGTCTCCTGTTGATACATCGATAGGACGTCACTAGAACTCAATAGTTGTACTTATGCCACGTTCGAAGGAATACTTTTCTCATCCGGGCTTGGGACCGGCAACGGCTTATAAACTACTTTAATTACATGCCTCAAATGTTGGCATTTATAAACGGCTTACAAACGGCTTATAAACGGCTTATAAACCACTTTTCTCATCCGGGCTTGAGACCGGCAACGGCTTATAAACTGGTTTAGTACTTTAATTACATGCCTCAAATAATTGAAATTAGAATAAAAAAAATTATTCAAACCATAAATTTTAATTACATGCCTCAAATGAACTATTTTTAAACTACTTATAACCTAAGATAGTTAAGAATGTTGGCACAGGATCAATCTTAATTTATGTTAAATCAATTTTCAAGTTAGTTCATATTCCAAATCAATTGAGCAACATAACATGAATTTTAAAATTTCAAATTAATTGCATGTAATATGCGCAAATTAAATACTTGTCAGGCTAGATCCACCAGCCATTTGCATTTTTTCAAAACAGCACCATCTCTTTTTATAAAAATTAAACTAAGTCCAGAAACGATCTTCCAATTCTCATAAAAAGTCGAAGTACTATAACATGCATGGATCACTGCTTGAAAACACATTGGCACAAAGCTAGTATGATTCATACCTTTTTCACTGCCAATGGAATAGCATAGGATGACAACCAAGGACAGTAATTCTCCACTGCCTAACATGAGTTCAAACCCAACTCCTAATAGCTCCAAACACATTACATCGAAATTGCAGATATCTCCCAATAACACGAAACAATGTAAAAGAAAATAAAATGCAATCCACTCTAAGCTCTGCAATCTTCTGTAGAAATTAAGCTAAATCAAATTCAATCATGGTAGAAATCCTATCGATCTTCCAATTCTCATAAAAAGTCAAAGCACTATAACATGCATGGATCACTGCTTGAAAACACATTGGCACAAAGCTAGTATGATTCATACCTTTTTCACTGCCAAATGGAAATGCATAGGATGACAACCAAGGACAGTAATTCTCCACTGGCTAACATGAGTTCAAACCCAACTCCTAATAGCTCCAAACACATTAAAAAGAAATTGCAGATATCTCCCAATAACACGAAACAATATAAAAGAAAATAAAATGCAATCCACTTTAAGCTCTGCGATCTTCAGTAGAAATTAAGCTAAATCAAATTCAATCATGGTAGAAATCCTATCAACCGTTTTAACAAACCTAAAGCTTAGAAATAAAAAGCAACCTTTTTTGGCAAAAAAATATAAACCTTCCCAGCTGTCATCACAGATGTGACCTTAATTACCGTTGAACAAATAAATATAGCTAATCAATGAAAAAAATGTTCATACACTGTAAAAATTACTGCTTGATGTGATGCATCTAATGAGAATAAACATAAAAATTTTTTATCAGTTACGTTATCTAGTGGTTTGTGAAGTTAATGCTTCCTTCTATTCTTATTTCAAGGCATTGAAGGAAGGTGATAGCTTGATGGACCAGGGACAACTAAGAGGAGCCTTGCCTTACTATGAGAAGGTCATGAAACTTTTGGTCTTTCAGGTAATTAACTCAAAAGTATATCTAGCTTTTATTCTGTTGCCAGTTGTCTAATAAGCATAATAGGAGTTGAACATCAGTGCATGGTTTGATTTAATCTCTATTGCACTCAACAAATAGCTACAAACAACCACAGGGAAACTTAAAAATTTTAATTGAACATGAAGCAAAATTCAATGCCTTTGTGATATTATGTATCAAAGCAGTCATTATGATATGAATATGACATTGTCTTTCGTAGTAATTGTTGCAACCGGTTGTATCAATTTTATTAGCGTTTTTATCCTTCCATTCCAGTTTATTATTGTGTGTAGTGCCAATAGTTGTTCTTCTAAAAAATTTCTGACTATTTGTTCTGTCATTTTTGCTTCATACTCAATCATGATAATTTTTTCCCCGTGCCTTTTAAGCATAAGACGGTTGTGTTATCTTCATTCTTATATATATTTTTAAGTTTTGGATCTGAATTTCTTACTTGTTTAGGCTATGTGAGTCAGTCATAGTTTCTATTTAACTTTTAATATACTTCTAAACATATATGCAATAAATGGTACTCTTAGATATGATGGTTATATTCAATATGTTTTCCATCAATTAGAACTTTTTGTTGGTTGTGGTTGGATTCCATTGTTTTTTCTATGTTAGAATTTTCTGAACTTGGTTGTAATTGCTAAAATGGTTGATATTTAATGGACTAGCCTTTGGGTCATTTGAGAGTTCATTCTAGTGGATGAGGTGAACCTCATAGCTTCTCCTATTCTCATGGCTTCTAGACGACTTGAGAATATTTTGTGATTTCTATTATTGCGGGAATTTTTTTGTTCTTTGGAACTTTTATTCTTGGATCTCCTTACCATTGAAGGAAAGATTTCTAGTGACTTGAATCTTATCCACAAGCATTAGTTTTGAATTCTTATAAGTAAATTTTTTTATGGTATGTACACAACATATGCTGTTCACAAAAATTGTTTTGGGTGTGCAAAAGTTATTCTTGATAAATCATAAACAAAGTTTCACATTTGATATGATTCTCGAGGCATGACACGAATCTCAACTCATTTTTTTAGTAAAAAACATTCAAGCTCCAATTAAAAATCATTCAAAACTCCAATTTTAGCGAATTTACAATCAAACTGAATGCTGGACAATGTTGACCCAATGACATTAAAATTGATCCAATTTGAGTAATATCAAACCTGTATCAAGCCATTAAACCACGTTTGGAAGATTTGGGTGATAGATTGAAGGGTCAAATGAATTCAAATCTGACAAGCTTATAATCAAATCGAGCATCTTGACGAGACGAATTCAACAAGTCCGAGATTACTCAATTTGGCACCATTAAAACACTTTATTGTTAATGAAATGCCATTGATCAAGTGAATCATTTTAGGCTGTTCGATGGAGTGGTTTAGATTTTTGTCTTATTTACATGTGATGCAACTCCTTCACTTTATAAATAAAGCCCCGCTCTCTTCATGAAAGAGGATAGAGAGCCAAATCTAGAGTCGGACTTGGAGAATGAGCCTATTTTCAATAAAGTTTTGGACTGAAGACCAGTAGATTTTTTTCGTAGCTGTTGACCACTGTTGATCATCACTCGCCAGCCACTGTCTACTATCCTCGCTCGTCCCTTGCTTGTCACCATCAGTGGACCTTGTAGGGTAACTATGCACGTTGAGTCATGACGTACGTTGCGGTATAACGACACACCCTGAAGACTATTTAATGACACACCCCGAATCCAATAACAAAATATCCTTAATATGAGATCATGAATAGGGCGGTATTAAGATCCAACAATAACTCTCGAAGGTAGCTGCTTACAACTACCGTAAAGAGGATACAACTAATTTTTAGCTTCCCCTACAGTCCTAGTGGCCAATTGACATTATCGTAGCTCATTATTCCGGCCTATATGACCAACTATTACCTATGTAGCTTACAGCTCACAGCTCCAAATATCGACCTTTATGGCCTAAATACATCATTGCAGCTCCCAATTTGGTCTTATGTGGCCTACAAACATTAGTGCAACTCCTTATTATAGCCTATGTGTCTGATTGTTGTCGTTACAACCCTTTGCTAGTCTTTTTGGCCAACCAGCGCTATCACAACTCACCATTACAACCTATGTAACCAACTACAACTTACATGGCTCATAGCTCATGTAGTCCCCAACTGCGGCTTATGTGACCAAGTACGCCTACGTTGCTCACAACTTGTGCAACTTCGAACTTCGATTTCTGTTACCTACGAACATTAGTACAACTCCCTACTATGACCTACATGGTTGAGTGTTATAATTACAACCCCATGCTACGGTCTCTGTGACCAACCAATGCTTTCACAACTCACCACTATGGCTAATGTGACTACTTACAACTTATGTGGCTTACATCCAATGCAGCTTCCAGCTACTGCTTATGTGGCTCTCCGTTCTTACAATTCATCACTATGGCCTTTATGACCAACGATGCTATTGTATCTCTCTACTACGACCTTTGTGGCGGCCAATCAACGCTCTTGAAGTTCCAATAACAACCTATATGGCCAACTATGATTTTCAATTATGGCCTCTATGACAAACAGAGGCTCTTACAACCATCAAGAACTACATTTGTTGTAGCCCAATTACGATTATTTAAGTCGGACCATCAGCATACTTTGGAATTCCATCTTTCTTATTTTGGGATAAGAGTGGACTTGTGTACTCACAATTACATAGTGGTTACTTCAACTGGGCTAGACCTCGTGATTTTTCTCCCTTTGGTGTTTTTCACATAAAAATTGTGGTATCTTATCTTATTTACTTCTCTATTATCTGTGTGTGATGAATTTTCATACAGTGTTGGGACACTAATTTATTACTCTACTGCTGCGATTCTTCCAGTACACAACAATTCTCATGGGATTCAGTGAGCCCCATGAGCTCATAGCATTCTATATATTTTAATGACCAAAAATCACACTAAAAAACAATGATTATTGATTTCTTAATTTAAATACAGGTAATGGGCACACCATTAAAACAAAGCACATAAACGCTTGTGGTTTTTTATGGTAAAATATTTGTCGTGTAAAAATCACAAAAAAATAAATTTCTAATGTATTGTGGTTAATGTTGTAAATGAACCAATGCACTTGAGGAACAACTTGAATTCAACTCAATTAATACTCGATTATACTTCTTCAAATTAGTAAATAAATGAGTTTGAATATTTTGTAAAAACTTCGTGCTTAATTAAACTAAATTTAAACATACTCCAAATCGATTATTAATATTCATGAACAAACTCGCTTATTGTTCAATAAGTAACTTATTAAATGCTTTATGCTTGTATAATATACTATTTAAATAGAATTTGCTTAATTAGAACTTATTTAACACTATATTATAATTTAATATCAATATACATATAAACTTGTTACAACTTTTATTTTTTTATTTCAATGAACTAGTTATAGTTGATACGTTCCAAAAAAATCGTATTGATCCGCATAAATCTCGACCTATATTTGGATTAGGAGCTTCAAAAAGCTTTATAATATAGCAATCAAACATCAAACATAGTTCAATTTGAGTCCATGTGAGCCCAGATCAAACACTTAAAATCATATTAAGAAGTTTTGAGACATATTTTGGGAGACAAAATGATCTCCAAATTTAACAAATTGTTAGTAAATTCAATGGTCTTGATGCGATAAATCCAATGAACCCAATATTACTTTATTCAGACATCTTTAAGGCATTCAAATTCTCATAAAAATACATCATAACTAGGGAATCACATTGGGTCCTCTGATGGAGTGGTACAATTTAATGCAGTATTTACGGAGGTTATCACTTCCAAAATCTATAGACTCCCACTATTTTTATAAGGGGGGAAACCTGGAGGAGAAAGCTGAAGGAGCTCCAAGTTTCTGAGAGTTCTTAAGCTCCAAGCTTCTGAGAGTTCTCGAGCTCCACCACCTTCGTTGTCACCGCTTGACTACCGGTACCTGGTCACCATAGTTAGTTAATAGCCATCTGCACTTCGCTCTCGCGGACTACCGCTGCTCAGCCACCATCGTTGCGGTCGTTGGACCACTAATGTTTGGTCTCCACCACCGCTACACTATTTTTCGACTATCACTGTCATCACCACCGAATCACAGCAGTTGGGCTGCAGCCAATGCCGTAACATAGTTTCCTGGCCACCACCTTTGCCTTCGGCAAATCACCACTATCTGATCTTCACCACCACTAGATCACCACTGCTCGATCACCATCATAGTCGGCACCGGATCATCGCAATCTTGCCACCACTGTCGTCGGATCATAGCTACTTGGTCACCACTATTGACATCGCTAGACCACCTTCGTTTAGTCTTTGCCGCTGTCTGACCACTGTTTTCTGACCGCCACTGTCACTGACAATTAGACCATCGCTGTCTTGCGGTGGCCATCGTTGGACCACCACTGGCCGACCACCATCGCCGCTGATGTTAGAAAATTTCACTATCTAGCCACCATTATCGTCGTCGCCAAACCACCACCATAGGGTCGCTGCTATCAACGACGCAAACATCAGATTTTCTGGCAGACGATCTCTACCGTTGGTATTCCTTCTCAGCAATTGGGTTGCCACCACTCCCCTAGCTGAAGTCATATGGATAACATCCCTTATGTAATATTATTTCCTGTTATTTAAGGATTGATAAATTCTTATAACCTACATCGATATAGTTTAATCATTCGCTAAACTTTGTGGTTTTTATCCTATTGTGTTTTCCACATACAAACCCCGTCTCTTCTATCAGTTATTTTTTATTTGTGTGCTGTATTCTTGTACAATACCAATACATTAATATATCACTACTGCCGTGAATTCTCTGACACAACAGTTTGGCTCTATCTTTAGGAACCACTCTCAACCTTAAAAAATTTGTGATAATAACTAAATGACCAACAAATATAATACTAGCAGCAACGGAGTATCTCGCTGTAGTGCTCTCTAGTT